ATGGCGATGCTAATTATTGTGCTGTAACTACAGTAGGAGAAAGGGACCAGGGGAGGCTGGGAGAGAGGTTTGAAGATGTTTTCTGGCCAGGATTCGAGCTTTTGGCTCCTGGTCATGTGTTTTGAGGGGGTTTTTCCCTCCCCTTTTCTTCTTTTCAGAGTCTTTTAACAAACAAATAAATCACCCTCTGCTTTCCAGATCTCCCAGATAATAGTTACGGGGACTTGGATACATGTTTCTGGAGATCATGAATAGAGGAGCTGAAAGCTGCTGGGCAGGCAGGCACTGGAGTTCTGCCTCCTTCTTTTGAACTGATTTAGAGTAGTCTAAAACATAAAAGATGCTTCAGCAAGAGACCAGATTTATTCGAGGCTTTTGCACTGTCATTTGGCAACGAACACACGTTTGTGGCACACATCTACGGGAGAGCTCTTGAAAGTCTCTGTTTTGAAAGCAAAATCAACTACATCAACTAAACTACTTTCTTCTGAGAGAGAAACGTGTTTTCCTGGACCTGAATCCCTTTGGGTTTACCCTGAGTATCTAATGACAACTTCCTGACATGTTCTAAGATACCTGTGACTTCTGTAATACTCTAACATCAGTAAAAGTAGTTTAGCCCTTCATGTGCAATAGTTCTTTTACTGACTTTAATAGGAGTTTTGGCCACACAGGATTTCTTGAGCACTGTAAATATATATCAGTTTTGTACCATTCTAGCAGAAGCAAAACCAAACAGGTAGGATAGAGCGTGCGGGATGGGTCAAACCCAGAGCTTTAACCCAAAAGCAGCCTCTCATCATTGTGCTGCCAACGACAGGCTGGGCGTGAGTGTGCATTCAGTCACTGGCTTTGCGTTCAGAGCCTTTAGTAAGCCAAAACCTCCCTAATAATTGCTTTGCATGCTTTGTGGTTCGCTTGTTAAGTACCAGTAACTCCACAGCTCTGAATGGCAGCGATCAGAGGTTCGTTTCTGCAGCAGCTGAAAACGTGAGCTCTGGCATCGCGGACACCTCCCCTCCGAGCGGGGCAGCGATGCAGCAGCTCAGCCCTCTGCTCACCTCTCGCGCTGTCCCGCAGGCTCCTCGCTCCCGAGCCCTCCCAACTGAGTGAGGATGACCTCCCCAGCGACTTGCAGTCCTTGTCGTGGCTGACATCTGTTGATGTCCCTCGGTTACAGCAGATGGCCAGTGGGAGAATGGATTTTAGCCTCGGTGCCCAGAATGCGATGCTACAACAGACAGGTAAACTGCTGGGGTGTTAAGGAACTGCCCTTTAAACAGACACAGCTACCACCTCCTCCCCTCCCCAGGCCAGCTTTCCTGTTACTGGGCTCCTGTTAAATGCATCAGATTTTGGTTCCTGTCGAAAGACCTGGAGCCTGTTGCCTTCTGGTGAAGGCATCACTGATCCATTTCCTTCATCCCAAGAGGCAGTGAGCCCTGGCAGTGGCAGCTGAGATCTTAGGATCCAACTGACATTTCTGCCCAGTGTAGTTGCTGGGGCCTTGTTATATGAACTTGGGCCAAGGTAATTAAGACTTTGATTTCAGAGGTTTTCCACAGCTTTGGCATCAGATAATCAGTCTTTCTCATTTGTTTCAACACTGATAAAATTCAGAGTAACTTATTTACCCCGTACCTGTTTGCTTCGCACACTTACAGCACGTGTTCACTGAATGCCTGCCTTTTCTTGTGAGCATCCTTTAGATAAACACCCTTGTTCCCCAGGGCGTTCAGCTGAGAGAGCACAGTGTATCCTCTGCTTTAGAGCAAAATCCTGGAGCACAGATAGTGCTGGATACGTGGGGCTTTTTCTTCTGTAAGCTCCTGTGTGTGTAGCAGCACTGCGGACTCTTACACAGATGTCATCTCTCGTTCCCTGCATAACGAGTCTTAGGAGCAGCTGAAGTCATCTTGGCTGTTTGTGAAACTCGGGGTTCTTTGGGGATGGAAAGCAGCGAGGTGTGATTATCCACTCCAGAGCTGAGCTGTCTTCAAGTGCATCTGCTAAAAGTAAATGCCAGCTCTTTTCTGAAGTGCACTTCCATGCAGACATTCATTGCCTTTGCTTTCCCCAAAATAGGTCCCGTGGCAAACAACCTGCACTCGACAGGAGCACCTGGAGCAATGATCCACGTCCAGGCCAGCCTTCCCCAGGGTATCCTGGGCCTCAATTCTATTTCAACACACGGCACAAACGTAAGAGCAGCCCTTGATGGTTTATTATTGTAACACTTCTCTTCTAGGAAAGATGTTGGTGTTTTGAGACTGACACATCTGTTGTCTTTATCTCAGCAGATGAGTCAATATGCTGTAGGAGGGCAGCCATCCCCTAGTTTACAAACACAGCAACAGCTCTTTCCTCCTCCTCATTCACAGCAAGTGTTTGCCCTAGCACAGAACACACAACAGGTACTGTTATTTGCTTGTCATCTGTGTCTTGAAGTACCCCCCGAGATCACATCTAGAACTTTTAAGAGAAAACCAATACAATATCCCTAAAGTTACCTACCCCTGGACACTTTGCATCCACCCTTTTCCATCTTTTCCTTCTGCACACAGTGTAACCCAGCAGCAATCTACAACACATCCTATGGGACTCAGCCCCACTACTCTCAGCCACGCCTGGCTCCTCACTCTGCCCAAGAGCTGCACCCAAAGCATTACCCCAAGCCCATCTATTCATACAGGTGAGTAGAGAGCAGATAGCTTGATAGCTCTTGAGCACTTGTGAGCAGTAACCCCACGATCAGCCAACTGTTTGTGTCTGACAAGATGGGTCCGAGGGTGCTAGACCAGAAGGCAGGAGGATGGCTAAGTGCATGCAACCCCTTCTTTCCTGTTTCTCTGCCCTGTAGCTGTTTGATTGCAATGGCCCTGAAGAACAGCAAAACGGGCAGCCTCCCAGTGAGCGAGATCTACAGCTTCATGAAGGAGCACTTCCCCTACTTCAAGGTACGTGTGCACCCAAAGGGTGGAGGCAGATCCTCACAAGCACTTTGTTCATGCCTCACTTCACCGACATCCTCCTGCACCTTTCAGACAGCCCCTGATGGCTGGAAGAACTCTGTGCGCCACAACCTGTCCCTGAACAAGTGTTTTGAGAAGGTGGAGAACAAACTGAGCGGCACCTCCCGCAAAGGGTGTCTGTGGGCTCTCAACCCAGCCAAGATCGACAAGATGGAGGAGGAGATGCAGAAGTGGAAGCGAAAGGACCTGGCTGCTATTCACAGGAGCATGGCTAACCCAGGTAGGGCTTATGGTGTGGTTTTGGTATGTGTGTGAGAGGCAAGAGGGGGAGAAAAGGGCTGTTTGCCCAGGGATGGGTGAATCTTGGTGACTAAGTTATATGGAACAGAGCAGACTAGTCAGAGCTCTCCTGGCCTGCAGCAGCCTCCTCCTCTGCTCAGCTGAAATAGCCCGTGCTCCGCGCTGACTGAGCTCATTGCTGCTGGCTCAAGGCGGTTTGACAGCAGCAGGAGGAGGGAACTGAACTGACAGCTGGTTTTGGAGGCCCTCAGTGCAAATCAGTCCCCAGCTTCAAAATGGGTTGTCCTTTCCCCTCTGTTAACTCACCCAGCACAGCCAAGGCCACCTGAGGAGCTACGCTGCCTCTGTTAGTTATAATGTCACGTTTTAACAGTTTCTGGCTGCTCCTCTGCAAAATTCACCCTTCACTAAGACTTTCTCATTCTTATTTATGAAGTCGCACGGTTCTGAGCTTCCAGGAGCTCAATGTTGGCAAAATCGACTGGAGCTTTTTGCTCCAAAATCTGTAACGTTCAATCAATGATAAATTATGTTCTCTGCTTAAAAACAAAAGCGCCATTGAAAGTGGTGGGAGTCTCTTGTACCAACCTCTTTTGAGATACAAGCAGAATTTAGAGCATCATCCATCAGAGCAGAAGAGCTGCTGAGGATGCTCAGTTCTGCCTCTGTGGGTCAGCTGCTAATAGTGATGGCTTTAGTTGCCCCAAGTCTCCTGTGATCACTTCCTTAGCTGAGGCAGGGGCTCCCTGCACAGCCAAAGCCTGTCCCTGGGCCACTTCTCGTACAGTGACAGTCACTGCCCATCCGGCTCCACGGCAAGAGCGCGGGGCTCTGCTCACTTCTGAAATGCTTTGGCCAGGCCCTGCTTGAGCAAACGGGTTAAACTGTCTCTTTTCTCCCCTGGGAATGGGCATCGCTGGTGCAGAGGAGCTGGACAAGCTGATCACCGACAGACCGGAGAGCTGCCGGCGGCCCAGCAAGCAGCC